ATCTTCAACGGTTGTTTTGCTAAGAAGACTAGAAAAATGTTTTGGAACATGTGCCCGACAATAAATACCATCACTAGAGAAATTTAGGAACCAAAAGTGCAGAGAAGGATTTTGTTACTTATCAATGTTCTTCGTCGCTGTTCACTGAGGTATTAAAAAAATGTCTCAGAATATTTATTCCTGATTATTTTACAAAATCATAAAGCCTCTGCAGCAAAGATTCAATTATCTTCGGCTACTTAATAGACAACTCCAAACGAGTACTACAGTTTCCCACAGTGCAGCTCTCATAATAAAATCCCCGATTTAAAAACAGTGAAGCATTTTAAAGTTTTAGTTCAATATACTTTCAGTGCAGCTTATTAAATTATCAAGCATGAAACAAGTTGCTTGCAAAAGAGAAATTCTTAACAAAAATTCAGAACGACTTACCTGTGTGCAGGAGATAAAGTGACGGCTACAATTTCAGCATCGATGAGGAAAAAACTTTTTACTTATCCTACTTTCCGTGAAAGGTAGCTGTAACAGAAAAAAATAGAAATAATAGCTTTTCTATATTTCTGCTAACAAATCGAATTGTCGTGACGTACGTCGAATGTGTGAACGCGTGAGTGCCTCAGACTTAGGAAATTAAAATTTTTTTACAAGAAAATGATATAATATTCAAACGTTATATTTAGTTATAATACAAAGTAGCGAGTATAACAAAATTAACAATCAATAGTAGATATTACAAAAAGGAAAGGAAATCGAAGTAAAATAAGCTACAGAAGAGGAGGTTAGCCGGCAATCATTACAACGCATCGCTTATACAATAGCTTCTTTTCCCTGTCGATCTGATTGATCCGATCGGTTTTGGTTATCATGCACGTTTTAGCCGCTTCGCTGGCGCCAGTGATCCGATCGCTTCGCATGAACTTAGTCCTTCTAGCATTCGCATTGGTCGCGACAGTAGCCTTATCAATCTTTCACCTTCTATATTTTCTGCCGAATTCAGTACTAGATTCTTATTAGTTATCTGAAATATGAATACTACTTTTACATATAAAATCACTCTTACAGAATTTAAATATAGATTATAAGATTTTGAGATCATTTAGGTTGCTGTTGTAATTTTACAAGTCAAGTGTCCCCTCATTTCAAGAAATTAGTCCTAGCCTATGACAATTTGTAGCTCCTCAAGTCATCCACCCGCAAAGTTTGTAATCTGCTGGTTGCAGCTGGGGTTGTAGCTTTCACATATTCATCTACAAACAAAAATCATACCTTCGCAATTTTTTGAACTGAGCTTAGACTCATCAATGGAAGGCACCCGTTGCTGGTTGATATCAGTCTAATAAACACAGTTCTTGGCTAATTACTACCGCAAATTTCGGTTCCTAGCTGACAAAAAAAAAGGAATTCTTTCTGACAACCCGTCCTTGTGAACCAAATTTGTGCATATGTCTGTTCACGGCCGTTAAAGTCCTGGCTTTGTATGAGACGACGAACAGATTATTTATAAAATTATCATATTCAGCTATAGCAATTTTAGATTTTTGTAAATTTTATACAAAATTTTATCTTTAATACATTTGTGTTGTTAGTGCGAATAAATTGCGAATAAATTTTGATTATCAATGCTGTATAAACAAAAATTCCATATTTACTTTTGCGACAGAAAGCTACAGATAACGAAAGTAAAGCAAAAAATTTCAAAAAATTAGCACTAAAGTATTTCTTTTTTGTACACGTTTACTTACAGTAAATTTTGAATAGAAAAATTAAACAGAAAAATAAATAGAATAAATTGAGACTGCAGTTTGACTAGTCACAAAAACTGATGAATTTTACGTGGAACTAAAAGTTTTTTTATTTGATAACTTCAACCAAATGCTGCTTATATATCATTGCTGCTATTAAACAAGTTTGCCTATCCATAAGTACACCTGTTTGCCACACTCATGCACAACAACGTCAGATCACGTTCAACAGGTTGGTGCATAAACTCTGACCAGCTTGGTTTCATACTCAGGCAAATCGTAACTTTCTTCCAATTCAAAATTACTGATCCCAGTGAGTCCGAATACTCCATGACCAAACAACTATTTTACAATTATTGTGCTACTTGCAGCTATAACATCGCATTTAAGTGAAGAACAGTAAATCTAGCTTACAATGAAATTTTAATTAGCGACATCTCAGTATGCTGCACATTACTGTAAATCGTTGATTTGAATAGACTAGCATGATTAAGGAGCTGCAAAGTACGTTCCTATGAACTACTTGCAGACTAGTTCGTAGAGACGTACGATAAGATATGGCTTAATATTAAGATATGTAAAGACGTCCTTTAAAAGAGTTATAAAGCACTACTTTTTAGAGTACCTGTTAGGTGCAGAGAGAAACCGGTTTTTCTGCAATAATCATACGCGTACATATTTATAAGTCAATTAATCTAAGAAACCTTCAACATTCATTAAATCTACTTTTAACCGAAAAGGAAATTGACACTATGCTTTTTTGAAGCAGTTTATTGTAAAATTTTTTTCAGGAAAACTGTGTCAGCAAAATGTGGAACATAATTGTACAGTCAAATGCTCTCACTGGAAGTGCCGCTACACCTTCTTTCCTCTTCTTACTTGTTTTGAATTTGCAATTAGAAGTGATTATTGTTTTAGCTTCACTTTGTTTTAAAATTTACCGCAGTCAATTCTTTCCCGCTAGAGGAGATTACGTATTTGAGCAAGCCAATCTAATCCACTGAAAGAAAGAAATATATACATGTATATAAGTAAATCTATACGTTAGTAAATCTCTTAAATTGATCCAATCAATAAACTTTAGTTGCAGTTTGGAACTGCTCAACTTTTTTACTTTCGCATGCCATAGAAATACTGGCATAACAGCACAAACCTCTTGGTTTCTAGAATATTTCACCTCGTTACAAAAGCTAGAATTTTATAAAGAACTAACTAAATTCTCTATATCAGCGACCGCTTGTTGCTAGCCACATAGCCGTTATAAAATCAAAGAGGATTGTGCTATTGTAAAGAAAAGTACTTCAAAGACAGCTTAAAGTTCGAAATAGCCCTTTTTCATCGACACACTGTTGTCATCTAATTACTGAAAATAAGTTTCTAGTAAAACAATTTTCAGTAAAAAAAAAAAGATGTTAGTAATACAACTTTTTGAGGTTAAGCGGATACGAAAAGCAGGCCTAGGAATAACAATCTAAGGGAGCGCTGTTGCGGTCAAAAGTGTCAACCTCCAGAAATACAATCTACAATCATCAACCTTCATTTTCTGTATGCGGCGCTTTCAAGCCCTATCCCGTAGCATTCCCTCTGCTCAGAGTTCTCACATTTTGTGACCATCTCCTAGTCTGTCCAAAAACAGTTTCCTAATCATAGCGTTTTTAGAATTCTAACAGCTCCATTTTGTCGTCTGTCTCGGTTTTAATTGTTTCTGTTGTTAATTATGGGTAGCTAGGTCTGCTTTTACTATTTTATAAACCTCTTTGGCTGCTTTCTAATTTTAAGAAGTCAAAAAGTGAAGAAATTGATCTTTACAGAAAACTTTCAACAAAAATGAAGAGGTACAGATTATACAAGACGCAATATAGTAATAGAAAACAGAAACATTTAAAACCGAGACAGATGACAAAATGGAGTTTTTAGAATTCTACAGCTCAGGTTTTATTTCTATTCCTGTAACACTGAGAAGCAAATAGAGAGGCTTATAAAATGGTAAAAGCAGACAAAAGCAGATTCTTAGGAAATAAACTCACTGAGTATTATTTGTCAAGTTCTGCAAAAACAATTTGGAGATTGTGGTTAAACAGGTATTTTCAAGCAGACCAGAAAATGGTCATGAAGAGGAGAACTGTGAATAGAGGAACTGCAGAGAAGGGGAGTGCATTTGAATCCTTCAAGACCCTTAGGATCGCTGCTATGAAATGCGCTTGCTAACGTGAAAGGTAGCATCGTAAAATGGCGAAAGGATTAAAGTGACATTTCAGCACTTGGGCAGTCAAAAAGTTAACTCAATGGACAGTGCCAAAATTTTCACAGATAAATCAGATGGAGTCGAAGACCTAGATACTAAAAATGAAATAAAGTTGATGATGAAAAAAAGCGAGTTCTGCAGTAGGCACTCTTAACCGTAATAGCTCTACCCAAAAAAAGTGTAGTACAACTTATGTAATGTAGTGGTCAGACAGCGAGCACAAGTTCTCGGACAGTGACCAGTCATGTATAGTCGCGTTCATTTCTAATTATATGTCCAAGACTACAAGAGGGAAAATGCTTTGTTTTGGGAAAGGTTTCAAGAGTTTTGGCGAAATGCCACTTTGCTGGATGGAGATGACTGGAGGTTATGCGAGCGACCTCCAAAAATGTATGCAAAACTTTTGTATAGCACATGTATAGTAATAATATTCGTTATTTTTGCCTAAATAAGCCTCCTCTGTGCACTCACTAGCTTTGTCAATTGCACTTTTGTCCTTGCATTCAGAGTTTGCTGAAAATTGTATTTCTAACTGAAATTTAATTCCTCTTTACTACAAAAATAATCAGAATATACGGTTGAGTACCTCTGTTTGTGTCAGACCATCTATAGGAAAAGTATATAATACATTTCGTTCAGAATAGTATTGCAGAATAAAAACCACCAATCAAAGGTCCGCCAGTGGACACCAACTACAGGTCCTCTTGCACTGTAGTATCATAGGGTCGTAAGACGCAGTGTTGTTGCACAGATTTGCTCATTACGGGCGGTCTGTAGTACCACCAACTGTTCAATCATTACAGGTGGCTGTAAAAGTAGAAGCAAAGACTAGAGAATAATAATGATGCAACGGTATTCAATCCAAACATTAACAGGTTTATTTGCTTTAATCTATATATTTGGCACTCAATTCCTACTCCTTGCCGCCAGTTTGCTGGGGACTGTACATGACGATAGGACGACTCTTTCACTCGGCAGCAGCAAGACAAAAAGAAAGTAATTTATATCCCTAAATGATTTTGGTAGAAAGGACAGTGGTTGCTGAGTGGTTAGCAGAAGTTGATGCGATAGTTGAAATTGATAAAACAGGTGTGATCGAAAATATGCTTGAGGTCGGAAGTGCAATTGATGCTGATAGACAAACGGTAAGAACATTCGGTGCTGATGGATCAATTGAATTTAAGGCTGGTAGGAACTTAGAACTTGTGGAAGCAGCCGAAAATTGAAAGGTAGTTGGAAGCGAAGTGGAAAATGACGTTGGGGCCTTAAATTCAAAAAAATACTTGGAGCTGAGGAAACGGATAAAATTTTGCTATTATTTTGGTGGTATTAGTGGTAATAAGTGATAATATTCTTCTCATAAATTACATCTTGAGGACTCGTATGTTTCAATCCACAATTAACAGCGTCGCACTCTGTTATTGTTCACCATTACGCACTCCGACTAAAGCGGTGGAGCTATTCAATTTGTGTAATTAAGTCGTCTGCCGTCAGTCTATTACCAAATCGATCCCACAGATTCCAAACCAGTCCAGTAACTCATACTTCCTATTAATACTTAAAAAGGAAAATAAAACTCTAGTTTCAGCAGAAATAGCTGCATTTTAATATTAAGCCCAGTCAAATAGGTTCAAAAAAATATTCAAAATTGCTGACTGTTCAAAAAATCCTGCTCCGCTTGCAGCTGAATGGTTACAAGGGTAACCTTTTCTATAATTGGATGATAGACTTGTTTGGCTTGTACAAACAGTAGATCTGCAAGCGTCTTTGCGAAGACTAGATAGTGTCGTTAAGAGATGGTTAAAACAGTTGCTTTTGGCAGTATTCACTGAATCTATGATAAAAACTATTCAATTCTTGCCAAAGTCTGTCTGAGCGTCTGCTTAAATGGTAATTGCTGCGGACGTAACTAGAAGAAGAGATACATTATGTTATAAAGTAGTGCTTGAAAAGCTAATAAGAACCGACCATTTGCAATCTAAAGTCAAGTGCTTGCCTTTTTGATTTTGTGGTCTGCATCACGGTTGAGCCTCTTTAAAATTACGTGCTTTTTATAAAGGCGTACCTGAAGATAAGACTGCGGAGAGGACTGATTAAAAGTGCTAAAGAAGCTCAAAAATGGTTGTTATGATCTCACTAAATAAGAGGGTGTAGACTGAAATTGTGAATAAATGTATCTTATAAAATGACTTGTGAAGAAACAAGCCACAGTTGAACTTGCGGAAAAACTTGGTGATTTCTTTCTAATCACTGTAAAAAAGTGTACAAAACTTTTAAAAGCTTTTTTTGCTTTCTTTTTTCAAAAGATTAATTTTAACAGCCGCAATATTGGGCAACACATACGTTTTTAATTCAGCATCTGAGGAGAAAACATCCAACGTATTCAAATAAAACTAGGGATATTCTGGTATTTCTGATGCCGAATACACTAATTTTGTTTACGCTTTGAAAGGTTGTTCTTTTTAACGCAGATGCCTTTCTGAAAACACATTTAAAAGCGTTTTTTATTTTGGCGAACAAATCTATTATATGCCATCGTTTCCTTGTTTTTCTGAGTAGAACCTCTTTGATATCGGATTTAAAACAATGCGATATTTTGGTGAAAAATGGTACTCAGCTTTAAATTGGACTTATCATCTTGACAAACGGTTTCTAATTTAAGCGGCTCGTAGCTAAGGACGGAGATTAAAGTTTCCTAAAACCAAAGTCAAACTGAGCTTTTTGTTCCTTTATATTGTATATTAATTGTAGTGGCTTGATTGGCTAGAGCAGTAAAGTACTTCCCCACCCAGTGATACTAATAAAACCAATGTCTGCCTTTGGTACCAATCATCAAAATCAGATTTGAAGTTGGTATTGCAAAAGTAATGCTGACAGTTTTTTTTGAAAAACCGCCTTTTCAATCAACGATTTAATTGAACTATCCTAGCTTTTAGCTGCAATACTCTACCAGCGGCAAATTTTGGCCTTGTTTCAAAACAGTCATAATAGAAAACCTCCCGCAATGTTGCTACAGAAGCAGTAACTTTAGACGTTTCAATTTTGCAGAAGGGAATCAAAAACTTGGATGCTCGTTTCAGCGGAACATGCAAGAATGTAAGCTTTTACTGTTGTAGTAATCATTGGAGCACTATACCGGTAGAAAAACCAACGCTGGCCATTTACTTTTTATATTCAAGCGAATATAAAGAGTAATAACTGCAAGTTAAGAAAATGGAAAAAAAGCTGTTTTAGATAAAATTTCCACTTTTCCAATCGCAATGTCAGTAAGACAAAAAACACGCCAGTTCTTTACCGGAACAGTAACTTACAGCAGCGAGGAAAAATCAGGCTATCAAATGAGACACTGAATTTCCCTACCTACTGCATACCAAAAAGCAGAATTTGGTTAATTGTCATTTGTTTGATTGTTTATCTATCATAGTATTAATGTTTTTCGTTTAGCTTCATTTTAGGTAAAGATTCCTGTCTTCTACATTATATAAGTAAATAAACAGATAACCCAAAAGAAATCCACTTTTATCTCCCAAAGGTCTATTTCATTCTATTTTCCATTGCTCTGTCATGTGTAGCTTCAGAAAGCACAAGGAGGATTTCTTTCACCATCAGAAAAGCTTTAAAAGGCAACTCCAGAGTTCCGGCTTTGTCTGAGTAGCCAACAGAGCTGATACAAATTAAAGCAAGCTAAAAATTATCCCGTGTTGCCATTACACTAACATTTATAATTCCTTTGGATTACTTCCGTTTGTTGGGTTAAGACGGATCTAACTGAAGATGAATAAGTGGTAAATTCCGATAGGAAAGATGTTTATACTTTGGCAAAACAATTGCTATAATCTTTTTCTGACTTATTTGGTCTCAACTTCTTTTCGTTTATCAATTCGCCGAAACCTTTCTTTATTTTATTTTATTTTATTTTTCATTGAACAACTTATTTTTTTACGTTTTTATTAAGAATTTGTTAAATTAGTTGAATTAAACTTTCTAATACTGGTATAAAAGAGTGAAGGAGTCAAAGAACAAATAACTTTTTAAAGGAAGGCTGTTTATATAACCTTTTCATGTTATCAACAACAGTGGGAACTTTTTTATTTTTAACCCAGGTGTATGATATATGATATAAGATTTTTAAGTTAAGGACTGTTTCCTACAGATTTAGTCTATCACTGAGGATATACAGATAAAAGACGTTCTATTCCGTCTCATACAAGTGCCCAACCCTCTGCATCATAATGACATTCTAGGGCTTGGAAACTGATTTATCTTTGGCTCACTTACTGTTTGCTGATGGGGCTTTGTCCAGCCGATGACAATACTTGCGTTTTTTTGTCGCTCTTCCACTTCCCTCTTCTTTTTTTGGTAATTTGTATTTTTCTACTACTTTGACTTCATTATTTCCTTGTTTTTAGTAAATCAGGTTTTCACTTTAAGACGGCATAGCTTTCTCAGACTAGTTTAGACCCGTACTTTCATAAATTCTATAACTGTCAAGTAGTTGATTCCTACAGTAGGAAAAATGACAGCTATTTCGATGCGATTAACAAAGTTATTGAAGTAATTAAGTTGAAAGGTAGTGTAAAAACAAAAACGGTATCACATTTCTGCCAATATCTCAACAAAAAGGCAAAAAAGCAAGAAATTTTGAAAAAACAAGTAGAATAAACATTGATAAAGAATAGCTCTTTGTTACACCTCATTTATATTCATGTGTTATACAAAAGTTTTGCGTACCTTTTCGGAGGTCGCTCGCACAACTTCCGGCCATCCCCATCCAGCACAGTGGCATTCCGCCAAAACTCTTGAAACCTTTCCCAAAACAAAGCATTTTCCCACTCGTAGTCTTGGAAATATAATTAGAAATGAACGTGACTATACATGACTGGCCACTGTCCGAGAAGTTTCAAAGCAACATTTAAAAATAAAAGTTCTCGGACATATCCGGCAAAATCTCGGCGGAAAGTGAACCAAAAGGCAAGGAATTTGGAAGAGAAAAAGAATGAACGTCATACATGTAACTATTGTACAATGATCATAATAATTTATTCAGTTGGCACAATTTTGTAAACTGATATGCAGTTGTAAGTTGGATTATTAGTTCTTGCTGATAAGCCGTGTAAGGCATTTGGGAAAAAGATGCTGAGTTGCACCTTTTGAAAAGAGCAGTTACGTTACGAGGTAGAAATAAGTCTATATTTTAAACAATGCCAGACTAATTCATGCGCAACACCTAACATAAGCTAACTTCTTTAAAAGTATTTAACCAGCAGTAGGGGTGTGAAAGCTTCAAAGTCAAAGAATGAGGATGAATAAGTGAGATAAGGTTATCATAGTGTTATTTACGGCCATCCGGTGAAAACTGCTGTTGCTTACACGCCAAAATTTGTTGGGATTTTGCCAACAACTAGTCCGGAACTTTGTAAATAGGGCACGGTTTTTGCATGAAATGAAAAAGAGTTTCTTGAAATGGAACTGGCTTTGTGTGTGACGAAAACTTCAGTGTTCTCACGCTTCCCATTGGATCGGAGTTGGAGAAGCGGTTCTTAGGTTTTGCCACTGGAAGCAACTGATCTCACCCGCAACAGTTGAATAAGATTAACCTATCCTTCATAGCCGAATTCGTGAAAATGAGGTTTTTATTTTTAGTTTATTTTCAGCTACTCTTTTTGTCGCCCTTTGTAGTTTGTCTGCGGTTTCTTTTGTCTTTGTTCTGTTTTATTTATTTGTTTATTTTTTTGTTTTGTATTAAACAGCATTCTTCGTAAAGCTCTTAATGCAAGGAAGCTAAAATGTCTATCTATTTTTAACTTATGCCGTGGTCAAGAACAAATTTGGTCTTTCTCGTCACATGGGTATTTTAAATTGCTTATTTTAGTTTTATGTGGAGACGTTATGTGAATCTGCTTAACCGAAGGCCAGTGCTTCTGCAGTGTTTGACGTCTGGTGTCGCTTGAATTTA